CATTTCTTGGAATGAACTTAGTGAGGTAAGCACATTTTTTGAAACAATTAACTAATCAGTTATGCTTGCGCCCAGTCCCCAAAAGATGTATTCTGTGGGGAAGTCACCTTCCGTTGCTCATTTTGAATATAAAAGCTTAGGCGGTAGGTCTGTTGAGACAGGCTTGTCAACATACAGTAATTAGAAGTACTGTATTGTCTAAATTTGCATTCCATGAAGGTGTTCCCTGTTGAGTCAGGTGGGTCGAGTCATCAGATCCCAGTCTGGCATTAAAGTCTCCAATTAAAACAAGTGCTGTGGGGAACAATAACGCTTTAATATAGATCTCAGATTTGCTCCAGCTGGTCTTATATAGAGATTTTTAAGTAGCAGAGTAGAGGGAGATGTTGGTTATTAGAAAAACTGGTAGCAACAAAGGTGAGGCAGACAGCCATTGCCAGTTGGTCACATGCTGGTAAAGGATGGGGAGCAGTACACATAGATGTAAATATCATTGTATCTGGGCCTTCCTCTTCATGGGTGTGGTGGGATTGCCTTTACGGTGAATGTATCATAGCCATGAAAGTCAAGATCTTCTGCCAGCCAGGCTTTCTGCATTATGTCATAGCTAGATAAGGCATTTCCAAGAGCAAAATGGTTTCGTTTATTGTTCCACCCAGCAATATTCTAAGAAATAAAAGCTATGGAGCTGAGGGCAGAAGACAATGTAGTTTGAATAAACAGTGTAGTTCCCTTCAGTCTGTCTTCTTTGGAGTATCCATATTCTCTCTCCGATTCTGAAATGAGCTGAGGTAGTCTGTACAGAGCAGCCTCATAAGGATGGGGTTGCTTTTTTCCCTCTTACTTTGTAATTCCCTTACTTTTTAGCCTCTAAATCCATAAATCATCTTCTTTCAACAAAAAGTCCATATAAAGTTTCCAGTCTTTCAAAAAAAAGTCTTTTATCATTTTTTCCCTAACCAAACTGGTCAGCTTTGCCATTTCCTCAAACTCTGTCAATTTTATAGTCCAGTCTTCTGCTGTGGGTATTTCATTATTCTTCCATCTTTGTGCATACAGTAATCTTGCTGCAGTTACCAAAAACAAGAGGGAGGGGAAAGAGTAAGATGGCAGCTGCTTGATAGAAAGAAGGGTAGAAGTCAT